GTCTTTGCCGTAATGTATTTTGGGGTTTAAAAGCCACTGGGACGTTATGTTTAGAAAATAAACGTCTTAGTTTCTCTGATACTCCTTCAACATATGGAATGACCACTGGTCTGGGTTCCTGTTGGTTTTTCATGATGCATGCTTCAATACTTTTTATACCGGCATCTTTTAGGATGCTGATGTTGAAAGCTCTGTCTATTCAATGGGCACCAAGAATCTTCTGCAAACAGGTTTGGTAAAATCTCTTGATGTGGCGTCTGTAGGGAGTCCATGTCTCTGAAGTGTAGAGGATCGTCACACCTACAGCGCTGTATACCAGCAGCTTGGTTTGTTGGGTGATACTTCAATCTAGAAAATCTGACACTTAAGCTTCCCAAAGCCACTTGCTTCTTGCTCAGTGCAGTATTGGATTTCCTGATCAAGTGATACACCGGCTGATAAGATGCTACCTACATACTTAGACTCCAGAACCAATGAGATCCTGTTGTTGATGTTTGGATGATCAACTCTACCAGGACTAGGCTGAAGGACAGTCTTGGTTTGTGCGGTGCTAAGGTCTAGTCCCAACAGTTTGTACATGTTCTTTGGTAAGGGTTACCATTCTGAAATCACCAGCTAACTGCAGATCATTGGTTTTGCTTTAGTCTGCCCATTTTATCTGTTTTCTTTGTGTTCTTCTTTTTTCCCTTTCCTGTTCTGTCATAATCTGTCCTCTTGTCTGTATTTTTTGTGCTCATCCTTCTCTTTGTTCCTTTTTCTGTTCCTAGTGTTTTGCCTCCATCACGTGTTCTCTCAAAGTTACTACTCCCTCATTAAGTTCCAGTTTTCTTCACCTGTTGTTCCTCGCAGCTGTTGTTGTCAGTGTTGGTGTATTTAAGTCAGTGTGTTCTGTTGTCTGGTATCTGGTCATTTCGTCTTCTTTTTCAGGCCTTTCACTACGTCCTGGTTTTAGTCTTCCCCCATGACCTCTGGTTATTCATGTAAGTTTTTGCTGCAACGTCAGCCCTTTTGTTTGTTTTTCATTAAATACGTTTTCTTTACTCTTAGCCTGAGTTGTCTGAGTCCTCCCTGCATATTTGGGTTCAAAATACCAGATCCTTACAGGTTTGGGTAATTTTGGTGCATGCTTTTAGCTGTTGCGTCTTTAATCAGGTTGACTATGGAGGTAGTGCAAAGAGTGACGGGTTCTGGGACCGTGAGACAACCCTGCTTAACATCTATGGAGATCTTGAAAACTTATGTGGTGAAGACACAAAAGACTAACAACAAGCTTACAAATACTAGAGCTCTGATAAATAAAATGTAAGACAAGACAATCCATAAACAATTCATTGTTTATAGATTGTGCAAAAATTGAATAATCTATTGTTTTTTTCTGTTTTGGCATTTATTTTGTCATGTTTGCACATTGACAAGTATGAATGTGTTAATCTTAACAGGAACAAAACAAATATCACAGGACTTAGACATTTCTGGAAGTATCCCATTTAAATTTGAATATGTGGACTAGTCTTGGTGTATTTTCACTGGTCAGTCTAGTTTTTGTCAATAAATTGTTGAGTCAGTATAAATTCCAGCTTTCTCTAGAGTTATTGGATTATCTCTTGTGTTTAAGCAAATCCTGCTGACGTAGCTTTACCGTCTGTGTCCTCCCCCACAGAAACTCACCTCTAGTGACCGTCTGGTCTTCAATGGCCACCAACGAAGGTGTTGGACCTGGTGACGATTGGTTAAAGGGGCTCATAGATCCTTCAGGTAATGGCGGGTTGTAGTCCTCACATTGACCTTTGGACTGTGTGAATCCACAGAAGACCAACAGAAAGAATAAGAACTGCTCACATACGTTTGGATAAATTGGTCATCTCACCTCCTCGGGGCAGTTGTAATCCAACCACTCTTGTCTGTGTCGGTCAATACCGTCAGAGCATCTGAAACTCAGCGAGGACCAAATAAGACCAGAGGAATTCTTTCAGTTTTTATTTGACACGGATGGAGTTTTATCTCACCGTTGGAGGGTGTTGCACCAGCCACAGCCGCTCGTTAGGTTGGACGTCAGGCAGAGGTCACAGGAAGTGTGCTGAAGGCAAGCTGGAGGAGTCAGGCACACATTAGAAAGGTGAAAAATGTGGCAGGGCTGCCAGGTGTTTGTAATAATACTCACTGGGCAGAGGTGTGAACTCGAATGCAGACCCACTGACGATTTTTGTGGCGTCGATCTCGACACGATGATATTCGTAGATGGTTCGCCGCTTTGCAGCTTTAGCATGAAAATGAAGTATGAGTACATGTTTCGCCCTTGTTACCACTCAGGTTAACATACATAAAAGAATTATGCCGTTAGAACACAATCAAAGTCTTTGAGCCAGCAAAAGTAAAATGGAAGAGACAGATTTGGGCCTTGTATTGCAGTTTGGTCTTCGCTGCTTTTCGACTAGCTACTAGCATTTTAATCCAGTCATAATTAAAGTAATTCTCCTTACTGAGGTTGTTCAAAGAGTTTTCTACAGCGGGTAAGATATTATCAACAACATTTTTACAGGTTCTAATTAGGGATACACAATATTGGATTTTTGGCCAATATGTTAAAACTTATTTGGCTGATAACCAATATTTTTTGCTCTAGACCTACTTACTGAGACTACATAGTTTTCTCTGCTGTGGAATTAAAACACTACATTATTCTGAATGGTCTTCGTCAGTTTGGCTTGCTACCAAATGCAGATGCCAAAAATGGGACTGAAAATGATGTAACAATATATAAATATATAATTGTATAAAAAAACAGCACCTTTTTATATTGGTGAGTTATTCTGATGGAATGGCTGATGTCCAATATTTAACTTTATCGCTGATATCGATAATCTCATGCATCCCTAGCACTAATGCACATCAGCCATCATGTTCTCAAATAGATTTACGGCTGTCTTTGTTATTCAAGTTCAGCGTTCAACTGTAGTGTTTTAGTCATTTGTAACAGCTTTTTTTTACTATTATGTACAAACTTATTTATGAATTGGCTTCATTGTTTTTGTATGTTGTGTTTAAAATTCCTTCAACGTGCAACGCTTTGCGTGCCTGAATGGCTGCAGTGAAACATCGATAGACACGAACACTGTTTAGAGAAGCTCCACGCCAACTGTTAATAAAAGTAAATGCAAAAATGAACCATCAGTTTTTAAGAATAGTTTCTAAAAGAAATTGTAGGGTAAGAAGGCCATAGTCAGTGATGGTAACAAATATACACAAACGAGAAATGCAATTTAATTAGATGTTGATGAACTGGAAGTAGGCATGAATTTATCTAGAATGCGTCGCAAAATACTGACGTTGAGTGTGAGCGTTAATAAAGGTCAATAGAGCCCAATTTCAGAATGTCCAAACTATCCTTTAAGAACTGACCTGAGAGCTGTGAAGCAGGGATTAATGCCATGAAAGCGTCAGAAAGTCCTACTTTAACTGGATGCTCTGTGGAGTTCATTTTCTCCACCGGTACAGGGATCTAAAAGAGAAAAACAGAGTTTGATACTAACCAGTGGTGTAGGCTACGTGATACGTGAGCATACAGAGTATACTCACTAGAAAAGCTTAAGAATTGCAGTATACCCACTTAAAAGTGCCCAGTGATACATGACGTATCATTACGTTCGCTTATCCAGCGAATTATTGTATAATTAATACTTACTACTTAATACTTGAACATGTTTAGATACTGTTTTATAAATGTTATAACATGTTTGTTTCTACAAATCCAACTGTTGTACAATGTTTGTTGTACATTTATTCAAATATAAGCATCAGAGAAATTTGGAAATGTTCAATATGCTTAAAAATCAAAATAAATTGACAACTACATTGTACTAACCAGTGTACTTTGGTTTCTAAGCACAGTATACTGACCATCTGTGGTAAAGTTAGCTTTACGTTGGACAGTCGCGCTCCGTGGCTTCAGCAATGTCCAACGCAAAACTAACTTATCTTGGTATACCCACTACAAAAATGTAGATTACACCACTGGTGCTAACATTAACAAAGCTGACTTACAATTTGAAACCTAATGGAAATTTGTAACGATCAATACGGTGATTACCCTTAAGTAGGCAAACTTACATCTTTGTAGTTGAAAACAATGCTCCCATTGCCGTGCAGGGCTGCTTGAAAGGTGAAAGCTCCTTCGTCCTCTCGGTCCTTTAGTCGTACCTTGTCCCACTGCACCACAAACATTTTACCTGAGCAGAGCAGGACAGGTTAGACAAATAAAAAAAAGGAGCTTTCAAACACCACTAACCCCACTGAAAAACTCCTACATACCATTGTCCATGTACCTGACAGTTGAGTTTTTGGAGAAGCTGGGGTCAAAGTTGGCCATGAGCGGAGCGATGTACTGTGTTGCGGTCAACATCAGATGAGTGATCTCACCCATGAAGATAAAGCCTAATGATGGGGGCCGGAAGGAAGAATCACCATGAGAACTTTTCATGAAGCTACTATAAAATGACCATTTGCTGGCTTTGAGTTTTCAAACTTACCGCCGGTTGCTACAATTACTTGTCTCAAGTTGTGTCCATAAAAAGGGAAATCAAAAGAAAGTGCCACTCGCTGTGAAGAAAGGAAGAATTTAAACTTGCGTGAATGTAAAAACGGGACATTTGTGACTGCGCTCATCTCACCGCGGCCTGTCGGTGTGTGTTGGACAGTATGCCGTGGATTCTGACTTGACTTTTGTACCGGTGGTCCAGTTCGACCCACAAGCTTTCGATTTTTCTGTCTGTCGGCCCAAAGCTCTGCCAGTTGTAGTATTTCTGCGAGTCCTCCTGAGAAAAAGACACATTAGAGAAGGTTTTGAGTGCAATGACCTAAAGCAGTGGTTCCCAACCATGATCCTTGAGGAACACCATCTTGTATAATTGTTTCCCTGCTTTGACACACCTGATTTGAATGAATGGGTGATTAACAACTTAATTAATTAATAATTTCTGCAGAACTTGAGGACATAATTAATCACTGGATCAGGTGTGGTGGAGCAGAGAAACGACTAAAACATGCAGGATGGTGTTCCTCAAGGACCACGGTTGGTAACCCTAAAGGTTCAAGCTGAAGTGTTAGAAGAAAATGACTCAGATGTGTGTTGTGCTTGAATCGAGGCACAAACATTAAACCAAAGCTTGTTTAAAGACTCTGTTCAAACTGGTGTTACATTTTCTTGTCATTTTTAGTTTTTCGTTTGAGGAAATTCAAGAAATTTTTTTTTTACGTTTCATTCTTTATCATTGTTTGGAAGTTTGTTAGTCAGTGCTGAATATTTTGTTTTGTCTGCATTGTTAGCATAATATTGCATGTACCTGTGTTAAATTTGGAATGAAACTGGCAAAATGTAATCATTAGAAGTTTCACCACATCTCATTAAGTTTTGGTGTCAGTCCTGTTTAAAATGGCTGCCACAGCTAAGCCACCTTAACAAACATGAATATAGCTACAGCTCAGTTGTACAGATGTTGAGCTAAAGTTTGGTGTGGTAGTAGCTGAAAGTAATTTGCATCACATTCAAGCACTAGTCCTTTCATTTACCAAGTTTGAACAAAATGGCTCCATCTTCGTCCCTTTTCATAATAAGATGATCTTAATTCAAAACTTGTATACTTGACCTTCAATTAAACTGTGTTCTTTTTTTTAATTTCCTACTTTTTTAATATTTTGCACTGTTGCGTGCACATTGTAAAAACAGTTTTGTCTTGCTGACCTCATCAGTGTTTAATTGCGTGGCATCAATAATACGACTAAAAATGCAATTTTATATATTAGCCTAATTTTGATCAGAAAGTTTTGAAGTTGATCAACTAGCCAGTGGTTCTTATTGCTGTGTACTGTAAAAAGGTAAGAAAAATAAAATTATGTCCAATGAAAACTGAAAATTCTCAGCTTTTTTATTATTTTGTACTTTGTATGAAAAATTCTCAATTTTTTTTTACAAGAATGTTAATGTTCTAGTCCTGTCTGGTGGAAACTGATTTCAGACATTTCCACCTGAGGGAGCTGTTTGGTCATTTTACATAAGTCTTCCTATAGCTCTCCAGTTTTGATGGCTTTATTAATGGATGGTACACTGCAAGGTGACGGAGAGCAATGGTTGTGGTTCGGTGTTGGCTCAGAAAGTGGAGCAGTTAAAAGCAGAGCTCTCACGGCCTCTCCGGCTGCTCCACATACAGCTAATGACCCACTTCTTCCCTGTTTCCACTGCCTGACACCAGCCTGAGAAGGGTGTGGGAGGATTTCTAGTTGAGGAGTTATCAGGTGCTCACTGCTGACTGATTTATTAAAAACCCCGACTGGACAAAAGGTGGTGAGTCAGGGAAACTGGGATCAGACCATTCCCTATAAAACTAACAGCAGCAGGACTTCTTGTGATCTGGTCCAAGTGAGTCATCCACAGGCATCCATGTGCATGTACACTCGTGGACGGCGACGCTTGAACAAACAGTGTAAGTTGGCAGGTTGAGGACTTTGTCTGTTTTCAATTTAAAATGCACGGGAAGGGGAAAAGGGGGGTAGAAAACAGAGCAACACGGTTTATTTGGATTTAATTTTACTGAGGCTGGTTTTAAAAGGAAAACTGTGTGTGGGACACAAATAAAACCCCAGCAGACAAACACCGACTGAGAGAACTGAAATTGGCGCAGGACAGTAAATGACTTAAGCCAGTTTTTTTCCAAATGACTTGAAGTTTTCAGTTAAAACTCTATCCATCCATTATCTTCAGCTTGTTCCGAAGTCGGGTCGTGAGGCAGCAGCTTGACCAGGGAGGCCCAGATTTCTCTTTCCACAGCCACCTCTTCCAGCTCTTCTGGGAGGACTGCAAAGCGTTCCCAAGCCAACCAAGACATGTAGTCTCTCCAGCGTGCCCTGGGTCATCCCTGGGGCCTTCTCCCAGTTGGACATGCCCAAAGCACCTCCCTAGGGAGGTGCCCAGGAAGCATCCTTACCAGATGCCTGAACCACCTCAACTGGCTCCTCTCAATGTGGAGGAGCAAGTGGTTCTACTCCGAGTCTTTCCTGTAAAACTGAACTTCTCACCCTATCTCTAAGGGAGAGTCTAGTTACCCTGCAGAGGAAACTCATTTCAACCGCCTGTATCCGCGATCTCATTCTTTCGGTCACTACCCAGAGTTCATGGCCATAGGTGAGGGTAGGAACATAGACTGACCGGTAAACAGAGAGCTTCACCTTACTGCTCAGCTCCCTCTTCACTTCTACAGACCGATACAGAGTCCGCAGTACTGCAGACGCTACACCAATCCGTCTGTCAATCTCACGCTCCATTCTTCCCTCACTCATGACAAAACCCCGAGATACTTGACCTCCTCCTCCCTCTCGACCTGAAGAGAGCGATCCACCCTTTTCCGGTTGAGGACCATGGCCTCAGATTTGGAGGTGCTGATTTTCATCTCAGCCGCTTGACACTCTGCTGCGAACTGCTCCAGTGAGAGCTGAAGATCATGGCACGATGACGCCAACAGGACCACATCATCTGCAAAGAGCAGAGAGGCCACCGAACCGGAAATCCTCCGCCCGAGAAATTCTGTTCATAAAAGTTCTGAACAGAATCAGTGACAATGAGCAGCCCTGGTGGAGTCCAACTCCCACCCTGAAGGGGTCCGACATGCTGTACCGGCAATGCAAACCAGACTCTTGCACCACTTGTATAAAGACCGAACAGCTCGTAGCAACGGGTTGTTGAAACTAAAAAATGTCAACTAGCCATATCAATGCTACAGATTTATCTCAGGAATCTCCTAACACAAACTGGACACTTGACGTTTTGTTTTTAATTGAAATATCCATCCATCTTCTGATATACAGTAACGCTAACATAAAAAGGGTGTTTTTAACCATTGATTTGAACACTGATATACCAGTGGTTCCCAACCCTGGTCCTTGAGGAACACCACCCTTCATGTTTTGGTTGTTTCTCTGCTTTGACACACCTGGTTTGAATGAATTTGAATTAACAGGCTTTGACAGAACTGCAGGAAGTACTTGTAATAAAATCTCTGAATCAGGTGTGTTGGAGCAGGGAAACTACTACAACATGCAGGATGGCGTTCCTCAAGGACCAGGGTTGGGAACTGATTTAGACCATTTAAAAGAAATTGAGATGCATGTATGGTGTATAGGAATGTATTGCGATAAAATAGTGAAACCAGTTTTAAGAACTACCCTCCCTTGTCATGATCTGTGTTTTTATTTTATTTTAAGGGTTTTTGTGTCTTGTTTATTTCTAACAGTGTTCAGTTTCAGTATTTTATGGTGTTCCGTTTCTTCCATTGCCTCCTGTGTTTCCTGTCATCATCAGCCTGTTTGTTTTGTGGTAACATAAAGTTTTATTTTTTTTATTTGCCCTGCAAAGGCAGACGTGTTATCGAGTATTCTTGGTCAGTCCGTACGTCAGCTTTCTCTTGTTACGTCCATAACTTCTGATCCGCTCGAGATAATTTAATAAAACTTCATACACTTGTGCGTCATCACTAGACACCATTTAGGACAAACTTGTGATGTTTTGGCTACTAACATGTCATGTTGGGAGATTTAAATCCAACACGATGTAATGGAAAATGGCCGAACCGGAGGCGGGACGAGGAGAAAAGAGTTGATTGTTTAGCTTCTCACCACTATGCGGGTCATGTTGTCTGGAAGGGTGGTGACATCAACTCTTCCTCTGGCCTGTGTGGTTTCTCTGTGTTGCTGTTGGTTCTGCTGGTCTCTCCTGGCTCTGTGAAAACTGGCCTCTCCTCCAATGGACCTCAGAGCAGTCCCGCTCTGCGAATCTACAAGGAGATACGTGTTAGTGGAACTGAACTGAATCAACACACATGGACCCACGTCGAACAAGTTCTGCCTTTTATACCCTGCGGTCACATCTGCTCTTTATTAGTTACCAAGTTACCATAATGTGACTCATATTATGCTTCATCATATTCACAGAAAGCTAAACCTACATTTAGAGGTCTTGTAGCGAAACCTCAACTCAAACAAACATTCAGGACGGGGATTTTTTCTTTACCTCTATAAATCAAGGGGGGTAGGGTTGCCTGTTCGAAACCACTTTGCCTTTTGGAAACAACCAAATTAAAGAGAGCCACTGCAGGAGTGGCAGTGCAAAGGTTAAAGAAGGTGAGCCTGTGATTGTAAGGTCGCCGGTTCGACTTCCCGGACTAACATCAAAACGTAGATAGAAAAGGTGAAACGCCCACACCTGCCTCCACCCTCATTTGCCCCACTTTGGGCCCTTGAGCAAGGCCTTTAACCCCCACCATCTGCTCCCCCAGGCGCCCTAGATAGCAGCTCTCTGCTCCACACAGAGGGCTGTGGTAGCTCGGTGGTCTGTGGTTGCGTCAGGAAGGACATCAGGCGTAAAAACAATTGCAAATCTTTGTGCGAGTTAGTTCGCTGCGGTGACCCCTGAAGAAGGGAGCAGCCGAAAGAAGAAAAGACATCCACCGCAGCCAACTGACACAAACCCCAAAAATAATTCACAATATTTTACAGATATTGATGTAAATTTGGTGTGACTGTAGCTGAGAGTCATTCACAACACATGCTCTGAGGGCTAACAGATTCCCCAACTTGCACAATACTATATTTGAAATAATTAACTGTTCAAAGCCCATGCTCAATAATCCAGGTATAAAATCCAACAATGTTCAGTCAGGCCATCTGGACGGTTTCTTTTTTTTTTTTGTGCTGAGACGTTTCACCCTTCATCCAGAAGGCTTCATCAGTCTGAGGAACCACCAAACAGAACTGCTTCTCCCCCAACATCTTACTCAAAAGTGGAAAAAAATCAGTTATGGATGGTTAGCATGGAAGGCAAAACATCTCAGCACAAAAAAAAAAAGAAACCGTCCAGATGACTTGACTGAACATTGTTGGATTTTATACCTGGATTATTGAGCATGGACTTTGGTGTTTTGAACCAGTTTGACATGACTGTCGACGAGGGAGAGGGCGTGCACCAGAGGCCATCTTAGCACCAACATAACTGGTTTTTTTTTTTTCATTTTGGAGTCAGCTGTTGGAGGAGAAGCTGCTTTGTTTGGTGTTTCCTCAAACTGATGAAGCCTTCTGGATGGAGGGTGAAACGTCTCAGAACAAAAAGAAACCATCCAGATGACCTGACATAGTTGTTCGGTGCTAAGCTGAAAGGCGGCGGGTGACAAGCATTCATCTGAGGAACGCCAGATTTTAGGAAATCTCTGCATTTTGAACTTACAGAACTTGATGAGCTGCATTTTGGGGGAATGATCATACAAGTGGGTGTTTCTGGGACATCTGCAGAACAGATTGTAGTTCGATGTTTATAGTTTTTTTTTCCAAACTGATCTATGACTCACTGTTTTTGGACAGTTGCTGCAATATCAGCTGAAAACCCTGATTGTTTGACCGGGGGAGGATAAAATCCAGGCTGCTGTTATAATTTAATTTAAGCCAATTGCTAATTGTGAAAATAAGAGCAAATCTTGGGGGAGGAAATGATGAGAACCAGCTTGGAGTTCCCTCTCTCCCTTTTTAAAAAAAAAAAAAAAATCTGAACATTTAAACTTGTACATACTCCTTGTATCACGACCTGCTTTTAGTTTACTGCTTTGACTTGTTTGAAAGTGTTTGTTGTAAATAATCCAACAGAATCAACGAGCTTGCAGCAGTTTTTCGCCCTTTCCGATCCCAACTTGACAGTATACTTGTTTATACAAATCCACAGATAAAATAAATAGTTTTTCCAGTTTCTTGTGAAGAACTTTAGAGACAAAAAGCCCCGAGTCTAACACCCATCTGAGCCAATTCTTTCACCTGAGGTGACATTGGGGTTTGTACATCTTGACGTGGTTAATGCTTTTGCGGTTGACAGTGAAAATCTGCTGCTCTCGGTTGCTTTCTGCTCCAAAACCTCAAACCAGACAAGTGGAAGCACTCATTTTATCATGTTAGTGGCCATAATTCATCATCCATAATCTGCTTTCTCTGCACACTCAAATATAAATTGAAGTAAGGTCTCAACTCTTCATTATTTTTAATATGAATACTTTTCCTTTTCAATAAAAAATAACAACCAAAAAAAATCTAAATAGCACAGAAATTCCTGAAATGACTGTGTTGGACCAGCGGTGGGGGGGGGGGGGGGGGGTGGACATTATAATAATGATGTCAAAACATTAGGAAAAAATCATTGAGCATGATGCTTTGATTATCATTTAATGTCAGTGATGAACATTTCCAGCTCTTTGCCAAAATGTAGCAAAGACAGAGTCAAGACAAATCTGGCCAAACATAATAAATCCTTGTCCAAACAGCTTCGTTGTTGTTGTGGTTTCTGCTGCACGTTGATGCACAAAACAGCTGTAGACATGTGCAACGTCCTCTGCACTTTTAGGCTTTGTTCACATGGAATCACGTTTTTTCCTTTTCTAAACACATCCTTGTAAACAAGACAGAATTCCTAGAAATGTTCTCATCCACACTGAAATATCAAAAACGACCCAAAACGCTACAGTACCCATGTCAGGCCTGTGTGTGGCGCTGTAATGCTGCCAGGAAACTACACCAAAAACAGGAAACAAGACGTAAACACCTTGTGCCATAGGTAAGATTGGAAGCGTATCTATGCATGCACATATTTTTCTAAACGGTGTCATATGCTGTACACACATGCGTTTCAAGATGTTTTCAGTCGAGAGCACGCTCTTTTATAAATGTTATTTTTGTGTGGATGCAAGACTAAAAGCATAAAAAAGGTGTTTTTTTCACAACAGTCTTCATGTTATCTCCCTTGCTTATCTTTGCACACTTAACACAAAGTTCTTAAAACATTCTCATCTGTTTGTTAAAATAAAAATATTTATTTCCTCACCACTCACTGCTTGCACATAGATGGGAAGTGCAGCCACAGCAAAACTGTCCAAACCTTGTCGCTTATTTTAAAACATATCTCCATTGAGAGCGTGTGATTTTCATTCAACCTTTATTTATTCAGGTTAATCCCGTTAAGCCTCGGGGACTCATTTACAAGAGAGACCATTTGCAGTCGAGAAGCTGTTAAGTGTGACAGACAGGAATAAAATAATCTCATCAGAATTATGCAGATTTCTTTACAAGATTTTCAAGGATTAAGATTCTGCACTTCCAAACGACTAATGTTAACCAGTTATGTGTACAAACCAGTGTGTATTTGTGTGTGGGTTCATTGGTAACAAACGCTGACAAAGAGACTGTGGAGCTGTGAACACTTCTCTTGGGTCGACCGACCCAACGTTTGCTTTGAGCTGTTTTGTTAGGAGGTGACTTGTTGATTCTCCTTTAGATGTTGATTTGGCCTTTCCTCACTAATAACGCCCAAAGCACTACTACAATCCATCCATCATGATCAGCTTTTTGGTTCATGTAAAATTAAATTGGAGCGTTTTCATAAGACACACAAAGACAGCCTGTTAAACTCTCTTTCATACTAAGCCCTTTGGTTTACGTAGTGAGGATTGTAAACTGTTGCTGAGGTCCATCTACTGTATTTTTCGCCCTATAAGTCACATTTTTTTTTGCATAATTTACTCTGTGACTTATACCCCCAAGTGACGTATTTGTTCCCCGCCCCCCTCCGTACTTATAAACCAAATTTTGGCTGAGATATGACTGTTATCATTAATTCTGACTGAAAATATTGAACACTACCATTTTCAGCCACTAGATGGCACTCGAGTAGTATGGCATGCTGTTGTATCATGTAATGGGTAAAAGTGGCTATTAATGACAGAATCGGCTTGCCATAGCCTGCCACATTCGTCCAGCTCACCTGGAGCAAACGTCAAATCAGCTTCATTTTGCTGCCGGTGAAATGCAGCTAATTTGAACACAGAAGTGCATTTATTCAGTCAAAGTTCAACTGAGACACACCTTTATTATAATGTCGAGCAAACAAATAATTGTTTTAGGTGCTTATCTTGTTAAATTTCGAAGAAATGCACAGCGTTCCTCCTTCCTGATTTCCTCCCTCAGCCCGGAGCACCGAGGCAGCAAGTACTTTTGAAATGCAGCTGATTTGACCGTCAAAGAGCATTTATTAAGGAAAACTTAGATTGAGACACAATTTTACTATAATTTCAAGCAAACAAATAATTGTTTTTAAGTGTTAATCTTGTTAAATTCTTGTTAAAGTCCTCCCACGTTCCCGCAGGCAGCCAATCAATGTTTGGCACAACACCGGCCCACATTCCCGGGTTGTCAGCGGTGATCCATAATAAATGTGATGTATACAACGAAGCAACATATTCATGGACTTTCCCACTTTATTACACATATTTGGAGTGAAGCGACTTATAGGGCGGAGCAACGTGTACGCCGGAAAATACGGTACTTAAATTACGCTTTTGTTGCTGAGAACAGACTAAAATGAACTTTCAAAATACAAGAAGACAACATACCCAACATATCACATCCTTTTTTAATAAAAAATACAAGCTTAATGTTTATGAGGCTTTAAATGTTTCGGATCTACAACAATTAAAAACTTTCTCCACCAAAATGAGTAAATTTGTCCTTTCTCAAAAAAAAATATTGCTCACGTTGAGAGTGAAATTCACATTTTTATGGCCCGCACCACGAGTCCTGTCGTCTTTAGGCCCACAGCGTTTGGACACTCCTGCTCTAACTGATCGAGTTGCAAAAAGACAAAACAAACACAGTTTTACAAACGACACAAAACTTTCCAGAATCCAAGGGAAGGATGACCGAAGCTCGAGGGGAGACGTCGCTTGAAAACTTGGAGTTAATTCGTCTT